AATTATTCATTAATTATATTCATTTTTATAACACTAGTATAGGTAAGGACTTCAATGAATGTCAAACGCCTGCACCTACACACTACGACGAAATATTGTTGAGAAAAAGTTGAGAAGAGTTAGTTTGGTAATCTGTGATCTTGCCTCTGACTACAAACGATAAATTGTGTAAGGCGGCTCCGTAAACGCAAGTTATCAGCCTCCTAGTTAAAAAGCAATACTGGTATAGGTAGATATTTTGAAATTGACCGCGCCTATTCATTGGCAAGGGGTGGCAACGTCGCAAGGATTATGTTCTTCTACTAGCTGCTGCTCTCGTTACGACGAGTGGGTTATTTGTCATCATTTTTTTTCCATCTAACCCCACTTTTATCCGTTGACATGTTAGACAAGGAAACAACTATCAAAAGAGATAAACTTGGTACATTTAAAGGTCAAATAGGTTATCTGGTAAGTCAGGGATATTCAAAGTTGTTTTGCTCGAAAAGTGCATTAAAACAGCCGCTGCAGCCCTGTGCGTTTGAGACTCGTCTGTTTTAACTGACCTTAACATGTCCTGGTTTGATTGTGTGGAATTGGGGCCCCCTATTGAGGTCTTCCAGCTTACCAGGCAGTTTACCGAGGACGACTTCCCTCAGAAGGTCAATTTGGGAGTTGGCGGTAAGTAGGCAGATGCGTGAACCCTCTGCCCCAGTTGCCTCCTTCCAATAACGACCTACTTTTCGTTTGCAGCCTATCGGACTGATGAGGGTAAGCCGTGGGTGCTGCCAGTTGTTCGGACGGCTGAAAAGGCGCTGGCAAACGATGAAACTCTAAACAAGGAATACTTACCAGTGCTGGGGCTGGAGACGTTCAGCGCCGCCTCTTCGAGGATGCTTTTAGGGGCTGATAGTGCTGCGATAGCGGAAAACAGGGTAAATAGTGCCGCAATGCAACAATACCCTTGCTTGGGACTGTTGCGTGATTTTCTGGTTATTTTGCAGGCGTTTGGCGTGCAGACCCTGTCGGGAACCGGCGCCTTGAGGGTGGGCGCCGAGTTTTTGGCCAGACACTTAGACAAAACCGTTTTTTACTTCTCCAAGCCCACATGGGGTAAGCACCGCGACGTTGTATTTTGAAAGATGAGTGGAGAATTTTGTGGATCCCCACAGAAAATCACCGCCTGGTCTTCCTGAATGCGGGCTTCAAAGAAGCCCGCGAGTACCGCTACTGGCACCCAGAAAGCCGCGCTTTGGACATCGAAGGACTCCTGGAAGACTTGCGCAACGCCCCTGAAGGTGCTGTGGTCATTCTGCATGCATGCGCCCACAACCCGACCGGTTGCGACCCCTCCCATGAACAATGGGCGCAAATCGCCGACGTTGTCAAGCAAAAGCGCCTCTTTCCGTTCTTTGATTCGGCCTATCAGGGCTTTGCGTCCGGCGATCTGGACAAAGACGCCTGGGCGGTTCGTTTCTTTGTAGAGCGCGGCTTTGAGATCTTCTGCGCGCAGTCCTATGCGAAGAACTTTGGCCTTTACAGTAGGTTGCGTTGGATTGAGCCGCCGGACCGAGGTGCAATCCTTTGATTTTCAGATGAAAGAACTGGAAACTTGACGGTGGTTTCAAGCAATCTGGCAAACGTTGCGGCCGCCAAGTCTCAATTGACTCTAACCATTAGAGGCATGTACTCAAACCCGCCCAGTCATGGAGCAAGAATTGTGGCTCATGTGCTCAACAATAAGGAGCTGTTCGAACAATGGTGGGCTTCAGTTCAATGGGGCGATGGTTGGTTTCTTTTAACCTCCATCGGGTTTTAGGCGCGGAAACATCAAAACCATGTCGTCGAGGATTATTGAGATGCGCAAACGCTTGCGGGAGGCGCTGGAAGCCCTGGGGACCCCCGGCAGCTGGAACCACATCACTGACCAAATCGGCATGTTCTCCTACACCGGGTTGAATGGTGCGTTTTGTTGTTTATATTTACGTTATATTAACTCCATTGTTTATATTTGCAGAGGCCCAGTCGTTGCACATGGTTCAAAAGCATCACGTTTACATGCTGAAATCCGGCCGGATCAGCATGTGCGGTCTGACCCCGACCAATGTGGGCTACGTGGCTCAATCCATCCACGAAACCCTCACAACTGTACCGGCCAAGTATTAGCCTCAGTGGGATCTGGTTAGATGCACCTTTGTTCATATGTATAGTGTTTTCCGCAGAAAAACATGCACTTGTAATATTTACAGATCGTTTTATAATTAAAATATAGTATCAACGCAAACGGCCAAAATAAATATCAAGACAGAACCAGCTCCACTCATCCAAACGAGTTCCTGTCTTTCCACAACTGAAACGCCAGTCACATCCTCAAAAGGTTTCATTTTTGGACAACCGCCAGTCTAAAGGCCACCTCCGCTCCTCTCAACGGGAATCTTCTTCTTCAGCTGGTCCTTCTCGTGCTTCTGCTCTTCCAGCTCGGCCATTCTGGCGAACCTCGAGTAAGTAACGTGGCCCGACTTGATCGCGGACATCATCTGGAAAATAAAGGGCTTTAGAATCTTGGAGGGGCAGAAAATTTCAGAATTTTCGCAGAATCAATCGAATAATTAAAAAAAAGAAGCCTGTCTAGAAGTGAGAAACGCAGCCCAAACAAAACAAAAGTCCTCCGCCTCGGAAACACGAACGAGCATGCAACAAAACACCAAACCAGGAGAAACTCAAAAAAGGTCGCAAAAAATCAAGCGAAGTCTCTTCAGTTTCAAACCTGCAAGTATTCGTCCAGCTCGACTTGTCCGTTCCTGTTGGTGTCGATCTCTTTGAGGATCTCGTGCAGCTCTTCGCCGGGCACTTCGCGATTGTCGTGCTGCTGTAAAGGTGGAGAAAACCCCGCGTTAATTGCGCCTGACTAAGAGGAACTTACTTGCAAATAGTCAGCCATTTCTAACTGTCCGTTGAATGTTACGTTAATGTCGCTGAGCAACGTGTGGATTTCTTCGTCGGTCAGCTTCATCCCTAAGGACTGTGCAAAAGACACTTGTAAGGAGTTAAGACTGGAGGAGGCAATTCTTGCGCTTAAAACATGCGGCTTCCTCATACCTTCAGACTTCGTCGAATGTCGTTGATGGATACGTATCCCTTGCGGTCTTTGTCGATGATCTGGAATCTTTTGATGTAAAGCTGAATCTCCTCCTTGCTGAGGTTGATCGGGATCTTGTCCCTGCTCGCCCTGTTCACATTCTGGCCCATCTCGTTCTGCAGGAACTCAGTTGCGAGCTTTGACTGCCTTTTTTGCTCCTCTGGTAACAGTTCCGGATTAATCAACCACCAGGCCAAAATTGGCTTTTGCTCACCTTCTGACCATCCCAGCTCTTCAGCCATGATGGCAATGACGTCGGGCAAGGCCTCTTGTGCCGCCTGAACGTTGAGGAAGGCCAATCTCACTCTTCGGGCGATCATATCGATGGCGGTCATTGCGTATTCTCTACACCCATACCTGAAACTTCCCTGCTGGAAAGCTCACTCACTACCTAACGGTGCGCTTGCCTACCTGACTTCTGCATCGATATACGGGAACTCTGGATGCAACTTCCGGCCGATGATGGGCCACCGTTTTCCGGTTAGACTGGCGATTTTGGCGACCGAAAATGCCCGGTCCCCATAGGACTTGGCCAGATGTTGGGCCACTTCGCATTCCAGGCCAAAGTCTTGCACTAGTCTGATGTACATGGTGGGCGTCCATTCGTGCGCCCCTTCCAGCAGGAGCCCATCGGTTTGGCTCTCCAGAACCTTGCATTTCGATTGCAGATTACAGGCTGAAAAACAGTGAAACTAATTGATATTATCCACTTTCGGCACCCCTGCGCTCCATGCATCCAAGCAAGGGCGGATGCAGGGGGGTCATGGGGGTCATGACCCCCCTCATTCAATTCTCTATCCAACGATGCCAAAACGAATTCTCTGGCTCGAATGGTTCTTGAGAAACTTCGAATAAAGCAGTGGATTTTGCAACTCAAAAAAAACCACGCAAATCTAAAACTTTTTGAATTCAAGCATTTTTTGAGAAAACTGCCAACATTTCCTTATCGATGG